CTCCTTCTTCCCCATACTCTTCCCTTCTTCCTCCCTCTCCCCTTCCCTTTCCCCCCTCTCCCTTCCCTCTCCCCCCCCTCCCCCTCCTTCCCCCCTCTCCCCTTCCCTTTCCCCCCCTCCCCCTCCCCTCCCTCTCCCCCCTCCCCCTCCCTCTCCCCCTCCTCCCCTTCCCTTTCCCCCCTCCTCCCCCTCTCCCTCCCCCCCCCCCCCGTGAGAGAGATTGAGAAAGGAGAAGCACGTCTTAACAACAGCGGCGTCTCGGACTCTTAAACAATTGGCTATCGAAATCAGATATGCTCGGAGCCCCTTCTTCCAGCTCCTTTTCGCCTTTCTCTCCCTTTCCTCCGTCGTCTTCTTCCTTCCTTCCTTTTCTTTCTTTCTTTCTTTCTTTCTTTCTTTCTTTCTTTCTTTCTTTCTTTCTTTCTTTTCTTTCTTTCTTTCTTTCTTTCTTTCTTTCTTTCCTTTCTTTCTTCTTTTCTTTCTTATTCCTTTCTTTCTTCTCCTTCTCCTCCTATTACTACTGCTTCTCCGCCTCCTTGCTTCTCTCCCCCATCCTTCTTAGCATTCTTGCATTCCCTCTTGCAATTCCCGTCCCTCTCCCTTTCGTTCCATCTTCTCCAACACCTTCCTTTCCCTCTCCCTTCCCCACCTCTATCATTTTCCCCTTCTCCTCTCCCCCTCCCTCTTCATTTCCCCTCCAACTCCACTTTAACTTATCCCTCCCTTTCCCCTCTCCCTCTCCCTTTTCCCCTCTCTCTTTCTTGCCTTTTCTCTCTCTCCACTCCCTCTCCTCATCCTCTCTCTCCCTCTCTCCTTCCCCTCTTCCATCCTCTCTCCCTTTCCCCCTCCCTTTCCCCTCCTTCCTCCATCCCTCTCCCTCTCTCTTTCCCCTCTTCCATCCTCTCTCCCTCTCTCTTTCCCCTCCTTCCTCCATCCCTCTCCCTCTCTCTTTCCCCTCTTCCATCCTCTCTCTCCCTCTCTCTTTCCCCTCCTTCCTCCATCCCTCTCCCTTTCCCCTCCTTCCTCCATCCCTCTCCTTCTCTCTTTCCCCTCTTCCATCCTCCCTCCCTCTCTCTTTCCCCTCCTTCCTCCATCCCTCTCCTTCTCTCTTTCCCCTTTTCCATCCTCCCTCCCTCACTCCCTCTTTCCCCTCTTCCATCCTCCCTCCCTCTCTCTTTCCCCTCCTTCTTCCCTCCCTCTCCCTTTCCCCTCCTTCCTCCATCCCTCTCCTTCTCTCTTTCCCCTCTTCCATCCTCCCTCCCTCTCTCTTTCCCCTCCTTCCTCCATCCCTCTCCCTCTCTCTTTCCCCTCTTCCATCCTCTCTCCCTCTCTCTTTCCCCTCCTTCCTCCATCCCTCTCCTTCTCTCTTTCCCCTTTTCCATCCTCCCTCCCTCACTCCCTCTTTCCCCTCTTCCATCCTCCCTCCCTCTCTCTTTCCCCTCCTTCTTCCCTCCCTCTCCCCTTTCCCCCTCCTTCCTCCATCCCTCTCCTTCTCTCTTTTCCCCTCTTCCATCCTCCCTCCCTCTCTCTTTCCCCTCCTTCCTCCCTCCCTCTCCCTCTCTCTTTCCCCTCTTCCATCCTCCCTCCCTCTCTCTTTCCCCTCCTCCCCCCCTCCCCTCCCCACACACCCCACCCTCTCCTCCCCCCCTCCGCCCCGAACCACGCCGCCGATCGGAGAGGGAAGAAATAATCACCAAAATAATCGTAAACAAAAAATAGTGATGAAAATGATACAAAGAAATGGTTAAATAGGAAAGGACTGTTTCGCAAAGATTTTTTTTTTTTTTTTTGCGCGCGAATAATATATACTCTTCCTATTCATTTAATTATTGCTTTTATTTTATTATTATTCTTTGAATTTTTATTAACTGACTTAATGTTAGTATTATTATTCTATCCATATATCTATTTTCATTTATTTATCTGTTACCATTATTATCATTATTATCCTCATTATCTCATTTATCTACTCATTTACTGACATATCTATTCATTTATTCATTATCATATATTCCCCTTCCCCTACCCCCCCCCCCATTCCTCCTTTCCCTACCGTTCGATTATTTCCTCTCCTTCTCTCCTCTCTTCCTACACCCACCCACACATAAAGACCATCCATACATAATGAACTTTCGCCGTCTCTCTTACGTAATTCACAGAAAAAGAGGCGCTCGTCTGTGGGATCAATTTTATATTTTGCGCTAATAACCATTTTTTTTGGGGGGGGGAAGGGGGGGAGCGGAGGATCTTGCAATTGGCCAACGTTTTGGAAAATATGACAGAAGCAAACCTACTGAGGAAGTGGAGGAGGAGGAGGAGGAGGAGGAGGAGAAAAAGGAGGAGGAGGAGGAGGAGGAGGAGGAGGAGAGGAAGAAGAAGAAGAAGGAAAAGGAGGAGGAGGAGAAGAAGGAATGGCCAGACACCTTCTCACTTTTCTTTAAAGAAAACAA